GCCCTACGGAGCAGGTGAGCGGGGCCCGGAGGGGCCGGGAGGGCAGCGGGGACACCCCCCCGTCCTGCTCCGGGGCCGGCGGCAGAGCTGAGCATCGACCCACCTTCCCTCGCTGTCCCACAGGTTGCACCAGTTGCCGGGATCGCTGCACCAACCAGCAAAATGTCGTCCGAAATGGCAGCCGAGGTGAGGATGAACTTTGCTTCTCCGGCGGGTGGTCTCGGGGTGCTCTGGCAGACGCGAGCTCAGCTGAGTTAAACTTTAAGTCCCGGCTGAGCAGCCTGCCGTAGCCTTCAGGCTCTTCCCTCTACCTGGGAGAGACTGATAATCGATGCGGTTCATTCCTGATGACTTGCGTTTAGGCAGGAGATACTTTACAGCAGCCTGTGTAAACACTTCTCCATACAAAAGCTGCATTTTCAGTTTCTGAGGTGAGACGTGACTAGTCATCTTAGTGAGTCACGCTTTCTGCCTTCCAAATGGCTACTACAGCCCTGGCCTCTGCTCTGGCTTACGGACCAGCGTCCATCAGCTGTCAGACTGTACTAGCCACTTCTCCAACCAGAATCCTGGAGTCAGCTAAAGTTAATCTTTCAGTTTTGATTTCCTGATTGCAAATGGACGTGTTGCAGTGTTTCTGCTGACCTACTTTGATGGAAGCCTATGATAGTGAAGTTATACCTAGGTGTACCTGCTCCCCATTCAGGCACTTAGCCTCTGGTACTGGCCTTTAATTGAGCATCCCCTATGCCATGCTCCTGTGGGGACCAGATGCACTCTGAGGACCTCTAACACTTTTTCAGTTCTGATTCCTGCTTCTGCCTTCCCTCAGCTTTCTGACAAAGTTGCCTTAAAGATCTTGAAAAGCACATGCCTATACTCTTACCTCTGTAGGCTCTCTCCTGCTGCCCTCTCTGGCACATTGTTTCAGCAGGGATCGGCAGAACCGTGGAGATGGTCACTGGGGAAAAAGTTTCTAAGGTTACTCAACAGTGCTTTGTGTGACTGATAAAGCCCTGGCACAGATTAGTTTGCAACTGTCCTGTCAGCTTCCTGCTGTCCATGGTAGTTGGAGTGTACAGCATGAGAAGAGACTTGATACGGGTGTTTTAAAAAAATCAAGTGGATTCATAATTATTATCTGCTCTGCAATGGCAGTTGTATTTAGGTTCTTCCTTTAAATGTCCTCAGATTTCTTTTTTTGTGCCTGCTAGCACTGGAGAGTTGCTTTTGAAATCTTGGATAAGTTGTAAGGTCTCTACACAAGTAAAATTCCATTTTGGTGTAAGTTTGCCAGAGTTAGGGCTTCAGGGGATGTCCCACCTGGGCAAGCAAAAAGCTTCTGGTCAAATGACATACATGGCTCTTAGCTAGTGAATCCAGTAAGCTGCTGAATCACTGGTGAAAAAAGTTTACATGCACCCTGCTGTGAAGCGTAGCTGGAATTGTGTACCTGTCTTTGGTCGCCCAGTGAAGTAGTTATGTACGTGACATATTTAAGTGTGTGAGGTTAATATATGAATCTTGGTTTGGGTGGAAAAACAACATTTGTTTCCATGTCTCTTAAAACCTTTTCGTTGATTTATTTTTTTGAAAGGTAGCCAGACCTTCCTTTCTGCAGTCTCTACCTTAACCAGTTTTATGCTAATTTTATGCTAAAGATTGCAAGCACATCATGGACTCTAGAGATGCTTCAAACAGTAACCTCAAACACTTCATAATGTGGCTTGTGCTGGCCCACAGCTCTTTGTCAGTCAAAGAAAAATCTCTCTGTTAGCAGCACAAAAAGGACTTAGAGGATACTAGCTTTTGTTATATTCCTCACTGACTGCTTTACTTTTTTTCCCCCTTTAAAAGGCTATCAAGGGGTTGTTGTCCTGCAGCTGCCTCAAAAGAGAAATCCATGCTGGTCTTGCACCATATGCCCTAAAATTAATTTCAAGGACTCCCTGCAGAGGTAAAGCATCTTGGAGGATTCCTGAGCCAGACCTCACAGCTCAAGGGCTAAACACAAGTGACAGTGATATGTTTTCCACCTCTTCAGCTACTTGCCAAAGATCTTAAAGCCCAGGGGCTTTTCTGGTTATTGCTACCTCACTGAAGAGACATAGCTGAGCATGGCCTCTGTGCTGGATAAACAGATCTTTGGAAGTTACATAGTGCATAGGAACTTAACTGAAGTTATTAGTCCTCTTTTGATTTGCTTCTTCCTCTCTTTCAGGGAGATAAACTTTGGGGAGGAAGATTCAGTGGAAGCACAGATCCGGTCATGGAGATGCTCAATGCTTCTATTACCTATGATCAGAGACTGTCTGAAGTTGATATCCAGGGGAGCATGGCTTATGCCAAAGCCCTGGAGAAGGCTGGAATCCTATCTAAAGCTGAGCTGGAGAAGATCCTGGGTGGCCTGGAAAAGGTATTTATTTACTTCACAAACTGTTATGTGTGCTGGAATAAATGGCTCCTTATCAGACAGCATCTGTAGTAGCCTCCCTGAGTTGCTGTTCTAAAACACATCTATAAATGTGCCTATGTCCTGTTCCTTAGAACTAGGCATGTGCTGAAGTGCTTTCCTGAAACAGGATGCTGTTCTAAACCATATACGTGACAGGCCCATGCGTACTGCGTTCTGTGTGCTCGGAGACATTCTGGGCAGGGGATGGATGCTCAGATTTCATCCTGCTAAAGGCACCAGAGCCCAACAGTAGGATGTGAACCAGCTGACGAGCACCCAGGGAGACCTGAAGCCCCGATGAGCACACTCCTGGTGCTCAGTACGGCAGCCCCGGGCCTTGCTGAGGTGTGCTCACTGTGACATGCCTGCCCATCCTCTTCAGGCTGAACATTCACCAGGAATTGTTTCAGTATGAATTAGGAGTATTCTTTTTCTGCTGGCACTTGGGATCCTTTTGAGTCTGGCAGCCCAAGTAAGTAGGAGGCAATGCATAGCATTGTATAGGGGTGAAGAGAAGTCAGCAGCTAAGCGCTTTTTTAAAATATCCATTGTTGTTGCTCACCCACCATGGACAATGGTGACTCTATACAATATTTGTATAGGAAAATCTTTGTGGACAATGCTAAAGCAATCACTGACATTTCAGCTCACTCTTTCGTTGCAGTGCTTAAATCCTCCTATAGCCATAACTTCACACTTTGATTTGCACTGGGATGGCAGAAGCTGGTATTTGCTGGGGACACTTACAGCCCCCGCCACGCAGCAGGGTAACCGTGGTGGCTGACTGCTGTTTCTGCTGGTGTTTGTAGATCTCTGAGGAATGGTCTAAAGGAATCTTTGTCGTGGCCAAAAGCGATGAGGACATCCACACTGCCAATGAACGCAGACTAAAGGTCTGGATCCTCTCACCTCTTGTTCCCATTCCTCTGTAGCTAGATCTGCCTGACGTTAAGTGCATGTGCCTCTGTCCCTCTCTGAAATTCCTCTGGACCTTGTGGCACTGGAACCCCAGGTGCACAAACAAGTGTCTCCAAGAGCCCTGTTGTGCAAGAGGCACTGTACAAGCATAGCTCCCAAACTTGCCCTTTTCCCCAGAGGAGATCCCACGGCTACTCGCAGGTTGCTAGAGCCGAGTCCCTCCCAGGCAGGGAGGAGGTCAGCTCATGTGGAATCTTCTGCTTAGAATATGAGATGCTGACAGAAATCCTCCTCTTGTCTTCAGCAGCTGATTGGAGACCTAGCAGGAAAGCTGCACACTGGAAGAAGCAGGAATGATCAGGTATGTACAGAACTGGATGTTTTTCTTTTTTCTGTATTCTTCCTAAGGTCCTTAATCAAATTTCTTTATGCCGTCTTTCACATGCCATGACATTCTCCAGCATGAACTCCCTAGTTAAACTAGTGATGCTGCAGTGCTCAACTGCAAAGGGGAAGAGGCTCCACAGGACTGGTTCCTGGTGGTAAAAGGCCAAAGTTCAATTGACATTGCTTTGAAAGTCCACTGAAACCATAACTAGTATCTGGGTGTCATGCATCTTTCAGGATCAGTCCTTCTAATGATGATCGAGTTGTGTTGGTTGGAAATTTTCTAATCCAAAGTTGACAGAGAAGTCCACTGAAAACAATGGGCTTTGGTTCTGTTCATTGAAATCAAGATATTGCAGCTTTCACAAATCAATGACTAGGGTAAGGGACATTTGGTAAAGAGGAAGATGTCCCTTCCCATCACAAAGAACACAGAGGGGATAACACTGCCAAGCCTTTCTGGGGAACAGCATTTGGTCACTAAGTATGTCACATTCTGCTTTGTCTGACGGTGGCCAATCTCACACAGGTTGTGACCGACTTGAAGCTGTTCATGAAGAATTCCCTCTCTGTCATCTCCACTCACCTCCTGCAGCTCATTAAGACCCTGGTGGAACGTGCTGCCATGTAAGACCTTTTCCATATCCATCGCCTTGGCCTGGCAGGGCCAGGAGACTTCTAGGCTTGCTCTTGGACTGACACCACTCAGGGCAGCAGCAGGGCCTTCTGTGGAGGACATTACAGACAGGCAGGGTGTGGTAGCACAGGGAAAGCAACAGTCCCCCTTTCTCCACAGTTCACATCACAGAGGCCTTCCTCTTCCCCCCAGTGTGTCCTAGCAAAGGAGTTGAGGTGGCAGGTCCATGCAAGGCTTCAGAAGGCACCAAATCCACCTGAAGGAGTGGGGAACTTGAACATGTGTCAAGTTGTTCTGTAGGGGAAAAGCTCAGCTCTGGTAACTCCCTGTCTAACTCTCCTCCTCACAAACCACCCTCCAAACCGGTGGTGGACTGGGGAATCTTTGCCTGCCACAGGGGGATTACCATGCCAGGCAATTTTCCAGGGCAGCCTAGGGCAGACACACCACCCTGGAAGATGGGGAGATCTGAACCCAGTGTGCTTAGGGTGAAAGGTGAAAGGGTGAGGAAGAGACAGACCAGCTTCAGCACAACACAGGCTGAAGATGTTCTCTTTGTGACCTTGGCAGAAACCCCTGGCGTGTGCCTGCCACTGCCTTCTCTCCTGACTGCTGCTCTCACCTCTTTCTCTCCTTTCACATGCAGAGAAATTGATGTTATCTTGCCCGGCTACACCCACCTGCAGAAAGCTCAGCCCATCAGATGGAGCCAGTTCTTGCTCAGGTAAGCACCTCTCACACTTGGCTGGAGGAAGCCTTCTCCACCCGTAGGGCCCTGCTCAGCTGGAGCCTAGAAGTGCATCATCCTCTGAGGGGCAGCCGGGGGTGGTCACAAACCAGAGCTAACCCTGCCAACTGGAACTGCAGCTCCCCGTGTGTCTGTGGGGCTCTGACCAGGAGGGCCCCCAAGCACTGAGTGGGCAGTGCAGGCTGACACCCTGTGCGCTCCATCCTTTGACCACTCCTACCTCTTGGGTCGGGTGACA